TTTAGGGTGGGGTGGTCCCTCGCCCAGGTGGTGGTGCTTGCAGCTCGGCCGCTGCAGTGTTTCGCTGCCTTGCCGTAGGGCATGTGCGGCAGCGGTGCACTGTGGCGGGTGACCGGAGCGGGCACTGCTACCGGTGTGGGAGCTCCACCCACAGGGCCGCCGAATGCCGTGAGGCCCTGCACTGCGCGGTGTGCGCCGAGTTGTGCCGGCTTGCGGGACATAAGGTGGGGAGCAAGGCGTGCTCCCCGCCCCCAAAGAAGAAGAAGGGCCGAAGGGGAGTGGCAGGTGTGGCGCCACCCTCTGTGGCAGCTCGGGGTGGTGGAGGGGATGCTACACTCCCGTCTACCTCCTCTGTGCCAGCTGCGATGGAGGTGGATGCCGTGGCATCAGGGGAGGTGATTTCCCTCCCCCTACCCACGCAGCCGTCTGATGGAGGTCCTGTGACGGCCTAGAAATGGTGCACACGGCTTCCCTTCGGGTATTGCAGGCCAACCTGAACCACTGCCGCCGGGCACAGGACCTTATGGTCCACTGCCTGGCGGAGTGGCGGGTTGGTCTAGCGGTGGCCACGGAGCCGTACCAAGTCCCCCACCATCCACACTGGTTCGGGGACGAGGACGGCCTCGTGGCGATGTGGTACCGTCGCCATTCGGCGATTGTTCCCCCCTGCACCGTGGTCGAACGGCGCAGGGGGATGGTTTTGGTAAAATGAGGAAGGTACCTAGTCGCGGGATGCTACAATTCACCCAATTGTAATGCTGCTGAACTCGGGAGGTTTTTGGACCTGCTGGGGGCTATGTTAGCCCCCTATATGGCCGACCCAGTGCTGGTCCTCGGGGACCTCAATGCGAGGTCCACCGCGTGGGGTAACCCGAGGACCGGCTCCCGAGGCGGAGCGCTGCAGGATTGGACGGAGGGGGTGGAGCACCGGTTATTAAACCAGGGCTCCGTACCAACGTGCGTGAAGTGGAACGGCTGGTCCATCGTGGACGTATCGTTTGCGTCAGCCGCCGCCTCACGCTGGGTGTCTATTTGGCGGGTCTGGGAGTGTGAAACGTTGTCGTACCACAGCTATGTCCTTATGGACGTGGCTGTGGTCTCGGACCAGCCAGCGGACGCCCGCCTCCGACGTAGCATCCCTTCAGCGCTAAGATGGTCGCTGAAGTGACAAGACGAGGATCTACTGAGGGCCCTGATTATCGGCTCCGCCTGGCCTCTGGCCAGGGAGCGCGGGGCAGAAGAGGGGCCTTTGTGGATCTGGGACACGTTGCAAATGATTTGCGACGTAGCTATGCCCCGGATCCGCGAGCAGCCCCCGAGGAAGTCTGCGTACTGGTGGACGGGCGAGGTTGCCGACCTCAGAAGAACGGCCAGCCGCGCCCGTCGCCAGTATACCCGTGCTCGGCGCCGCCACTTCTTAGGCGGTGGCCCTCAAGCGCGCGATAGCCGCAGCCAAGGCCAGAGCGTGGGACGAGCTCCAGCTCACCCTTCGTGACGATCCGTGGGGGCGCCCATACAGGGTGGTGCTGGGGAAGCTTCGCCCTTGGGCGTCCCGTGTCACGGAGAGGTTAGACCCGGAATTCCTGAGGCGCGTGATTGATACCCTCCTTCCCCTCAACGATGGGGGAGAGGGTGCGTTGAAACTCGCCCCGAGTCCGACTATTGAATGGTCGGATGAATTCCGGGTCACGTACTCGGAGCTGTCCCGGGCTATCGAGGGGCTCCGGGCTAGGGGCAAGACAGCTCCCGGCCCGGATGGAGTACCCGGTAGCCTGCTGGCTCTGACCTTGGGAGTCCTTGGCCCGGCGTACAGGAACGTCTTTCACGTTAACCTGTGCCGGGAAACCTTCCCCAGTGTGTGGAAGAAAACGTGCCTGGTTCTCCACCAGAAAGGGGGAAAACCCGTAGAGTCTCCCTCTGCGTACCGGCCGGTGTGTCTGCTTGATGAGGCGGGCAAGCTTTTTGAACGAATCGTAGCTGCCCGCCTCCTCGAGCACCTGTCGCGCGGTGGTCCCGACCTTAGCGACAGCCAGTACGGATTCCGGAGGGGTCGCTCAACGATGGTCGCGTTGGAGCGTTTGCGCCTTTTCCGGGAAAGGGCTGTCGCTCGGGGCCGGGTGTTGATTGCTGTGTCGTTGGACATATCCAACGCCTTCAACACCCTGCCCTGGAGGGAGATAGCGGTGGCGCTGGATTATTTTTAGGTGCCCCCTTATCTTGTGGAGGTGGTTTGGGACTATCTCCACGGCAGGGAGGTAGTATTTACCGGCTGATACCAGGTTGTGCACACGAGGGAGACGCACCGCGGGGTTCCGCAGGGGTCGGTTCTCGAACCGCTTCTGTGGAACCTTGCGTATGACGCGGTGCTGCGGGTTGTCCTTCCTCCGGGCGCGAGTGTCATCTGATATGCGGATGCCACCCTGTTATATGCCGAGGAGGAAGACTGGGGGAGGACCAGGCACCTTGCTGGGTCGAGTGATGCCCGTTTGGACTCCGTCCGATTGGACTCGTCCCGATTGGACTATCCCGATTGGACGCGTTCCTCTTCGACTCCGTGCCGATTGGACTCGTGCCGGTTGGACGCTGTTCCCGATTGGACGCGTTCCTTTTCGACTCCGTGCCATTTAGACACGTTCTTTTAGACATCGATTTAGACTTTTTGTCTCCGGGCGATTGGACTCATGTTGACTTGGAATCGTGACATTTATAAGCCGTAAATATAGTGCGTATAATAATCATTGCTTTTTCAATGCTACTTATGGTGGTATAGTATTGTGATCTATATAGTTAAATATGGTTTGAAATTTATTAAATTTAGATCTGATACAAAATGTTACGTGATTTATTTATAACTTGTGTGTGATATTATTACGTGGTTTTACAGAAGCGAATAGGTAACGAAAAATTTTCCGTATCACCGTGGAAAAAAAATCTAAAAATTCTGTTTGTATGTTCATATCATAATACAAATTTAGGTAAATGTTTATTTTGTCGAAATAGGAATTATCTGTATACATCGTTTGACAGATATAGGTTAGAGTGAGGGATAGTTTAATGCCTGTTATTAATGCAGTCAGACATAATTCTACCAGATTCTGCAAGGAGTTATGAACAGGATACAGTATTGTTGCCTTGTATTACATATGTCCATGCATTAGATCCATAGTACACTTTACCAATGCAATATGGCAATGTACTTCTATACCAATATCTTTTTAATGTGATACCTGTTTCCAACAAGAAGTGAACCATAAGCATGATTCAATGAGAAAGTAAGTAAAATCCACAATTAAAAGTAAATAGTGCTTACCATTATTCGATAAGTAGTTTTCTGTGCTTAAACTATGTGTGCTATCGTAGTAAATAGTTGGCAAGTTGAAATACCATATCCTAACACAGTGCGCAGTGAATGGAATTAAGTGATCTATGTATAAAGATTGTATGAAAATTATGCTTATACGCTATTTTGCTTATAGACTTTATGTTTGAAACTTTGCCGGAAGTATTGAATTTTTAACGCTATAATTTTTATGTCAATATTGGGTTTTGTATATGTAAAATATTAATTCGGATGTAGTTATCTGTGTACGTAAGGCAGAAATAAGATAATAACCAAGGAGAAAATGATTGATTTTTCAAGGATGATTAAGATGATAATAAATCAGATCAATGAACGTGACACGGAACTCTTTTTAGTGGGATTGTATATTTGAAGGTCCCATTACTCGAGTCCTGTGATATGTTGTTGATGATCAGCTGGTGTCTAATGGTAATTTACAAGAAAAAGCAGTTTTGCACTTTGATCTGTATTAATAGCCATTACATGCTTTAATTAGTGTTATGCTTCTTCAGTACATACTGTAGTTTTTACCTTTGTATACTCTATGTGTTGACAACTTTCACAGTATCTCATAATGTGTACTTGAAGAGTACATACTTGTAATTGAAATTATGCAGTAGTAACATTTATTCTAATTAAACAATCCTTTACGTAATAAAATGCTTTAAGGGGCTAGACTAGTTTCTCGATTGTTAAAGGGAGGTGATTTTCCAAGGCTAAAAAGAAAAGACCAAGCAGATATTCATTTGCAAATTTGAAGAATATATTTTGACACTTTTAATAAGGAAATACAAAAAATTTCATGCAAAAATATCGAATCTAACTCGAGTTATACGTTACACCGTGAAGTCCTCCAAGAATGAAATTGTCAATCAGCTGCAGTTTTAGACGTCCTCTGAATGTCAGTATCTGAGAAAAGAAAATTTGACGTTAAACTAGATGAAATTCTCCGTACCATGAACTAGGATCTTTCAAAAATATTGAAAATTAACAAAGTGACAATGGTTTGAAAATAAAATTCCCTTATTGCTAAAAAAAACGCTCGTTTTTTGCTTGGAAAACTTGCAATTGTTATAATATTAAAAAGATCCTAGTTCCTGGTACGAAGAATTTTATCTAGTTTAACGTCAAATTTTCTTTTCTCTGATACTGACATTCTGAAGACGTCTACAACTGAAGCCGATTGATAACTTCATTCTTGGAGGCGCAACGTATAACTCGAGTTAGACTCGATATTTTTGCGTGAAATTTTTTGTATTTTCTTATTAAAAGTGTCAAAATATATTCTTCAAATTTGCAAATGATTATCTGCTTGGTCTTTTCTTTTTAGCCTTGGGAAATCACCTCCCTTTCATACCCGAGAAACTAGTCTAGCCCCTTAATAGTAATTCTTAATGTTCTACACATCCAGAATAAACATAATATATAAAAGATGTACAGTTTCTATTGTAATGCTTGGACAAATGGTAAGAATGCAATTTCTTATTTGCACGTTTTCTGTATTATATAGTAGAAGGTACAGTTCTCATTATCTTCTTCTATCTTTAAATAAATACTTGATTACTTAAAGTTTATATATCCAAAAAAATGTTATAATAATGAGATGGTTATTTAATTGATAGAAAAAACGAAAGGGAAAGGAGGCAATAAGAGCGAATACATACAATTCATATGGAATTACTTTATTAATTACAAACATTTATTCATTCCATGCATGCATTAATGATTAATATAAATATGTGAAAATTTATTTCTAATCATACTAACGTAGATCACACCGCATCATCTTATTCTTCAATAATCTGTAACACATAGAAGAAACCATATTTTAATCGCACATTAACATAGGGTTTAAAATAAAAATAGAAATTACAATTTTCATATGAACACTACATACAGATCCTTCCGTTGTACTCTCTGGCAGATCATAGTATTTCAACTGCTTAATTGGAATAGTCTACACTAACGTACATCACATCACATCATCTTATGCTTCAATAATCTGTAACACATACAAACCATATTTTAGGTACAAATTAACATGGAGCTTAAAATAAAAATAGAAATCATAATTTTCATACACACATTATACATGGATCACTTAACTTAATTTCTTCTGTTGTACACTCCGTCTAGTTGTAGTATTTTTTTAATTTAACTGGCTACTTTTCCTTCTTAAAACAACCGATTCATCCCTTCATTTCCTCTTATTTTTGGATGACTGTAACTGTCTAGATCAATCGAAGACTGTAGAAACAGAAAATGCACAAAAATTTACAACGATACTGCATATATACTTTAAGCATACAAAACTACTTATCAAATAATGGAAAGCACTATCTACTTTTAATTGTGGATTTTACTTACTCTTTTGTTGAAGGATCCTATATGGTCCTAAAAAGATAGCAGTATTGAAGTTCATTGTCATGTCGCACTGGTAAAGACTACTATGGTTCTAATGCGTGCACATATGTAATACAAGGCGTGTAATGGCTATTAATACAGATCAAAGTGCAAAACTGCTTTTTCTTGTAAATTACCATTAGATACCAGCTGATCATCAACAACATATCACAGGACTCGAGTAATGGGACCTTCAAATATACAATCCCACTAAAAAGAGTTCCGTGTCACGTTCATTGATCTGATTTATTATCATCTTAATCATCCTTGAAAAATCAATCATTTTCTCCTCGGTTATTATCTTATTTCTGCCTTATGTACACAGATAACTACTCCAAATTAATATTTTAAATGTACAAAACCCAGTATTGACATAAAAATTATAGCGTTAAATATGCAATACTTCCAGCAAAGTTTCAAATACAAAGTGTATAAGCAAAATAGCGTGTAAGCATAATTTTCATACAATTTTTATCTATAGATCACTTAATTCCTTTCATTGCGCACTGTGTTAAGATATGATATTTTGACTGACCAACTATTTACTACACATACTATTTCCTCACTCTAACCTATATCTGTCAAATGATGTATACAGATGGTTCCTATTTCAACAAAATAAAGATTTACCTAAATTTGTTTTATAAGATGCACACACAAACACGATTTATAAATATTTGTTTCCACCAAAGCACGGAAGATTTTTCATCA